AAAACTAAGTTTCTATTTAATAGGACATCCTTTACTCAGAGGTCTATGAGCTCAGTACCAGGTACTGGAGATACAAAGATGTAAAACCAGCTGGCCTCCACAAGAAGTCAACAAACATTGTCCAAATTGACTCTACAGATTGAAAAAGTATAAAATGAGGAATGGGAGAGTCAAGCAAGCCTGCTGCAGCTGTTCTCAGGCAGGCACAATCACCATGGGCTCACTCACCTTAGGAGGAGGACTTGAGCTGGGACTCAAAGAAAATTGGACACAGAGCAGGACTTCTGAGGCTACCCTGACAACTAGGTGGGTTAAAACTATAGCACTTTATTCTCTCACAGTTCAGAGCTAGAAGTCCAAAATTAAGGTGTTACCAAGGCAATGCTGACTCTGGAGGCTCTGGCAAAAACTGTCTGTCTTGGCTCAGGCTGCTAAACAAAATACTACAGACTGGGTAGTAGAATCTTCTTAGTTAGGAAGTTGAAAGTAGCCCTTGCAGTTTCTATCAAAGTAGTATTTCTAAAACCCACCAAAATATATTTCTGTGCTTGTCACCTGGAACTGCATTATAATATATGGATCTACACAACAATTCAGCAACTTCTGGAAGTGTTTTAAAAGCTCAGTTTCTCCTGCTCTTCAGAGTGTGGAATGTAGCTGATGGCGTATCATTTGTGGACATGAAGAGTAACATGAAGCCTGGAGAGTCAAATATGTCATTTTAGCTGTCTTTATCTCTTACCATATCAAACATTTGTTTCTACTTTACAAGACTTACTCAGAGTGGAAATAAATTGAGAATTGAGTCTTGTATCTTTGCCTTCCTACTTTCAGTGTATAATGTCACAACCATAGGTGTGACCAAAAGTTAGGTAGTAAGTAGGAGGCCGAGAAAATGAGAATCTAGAGAACTAAGACAGAAATATATTATTTGTGTTAATTATTTTAAAATAATAGACATTAAAAATAATTTTGTTAATTATTTTTCTCCATTGGGTCTGCCAGGATAAAGAACAGTTCCAGACAAAGAGACCTTAGGGATCCTTAAAGCCACGTCACTCATCCATGTTCTTCTTGTCCTTGCATTCATAGAGGCATTGGTTTATGAAGGTTTGTTTAAATAACAATCATTTGTACATAAGGCACATAGAACTTAAATGAACTTCTAAAGAGGCCTTCTAGTACCTAAAGAAATCTGGTGTTCTCCAAATAGATGGTTGCCTGCTCCCCTACAGCTTACTAGCTGTGTGACTCTGAAAAGTCAGTTAAAATCTCTGAGTCATGTTTTCTATCTAAAGTGTAGAAAACAGTAACAGACCTCACTGGGGTTGTTTTGAAACTCCAAAGGAGAGCATGAAAGGATATTAAGAGCTGTAAAGATGCTATCAGATTCTTGTTAACATCTAAAGCCCCTAGCTGACTCTTGCTCTCAGCCCAGCCTAGACAGAGGCCAAGCCCTCTAACTGCATTGTGCCTCCTCCTCCAAGCAGAAAGGAGGCAGCAGGAAGCAGTCACCCTGTGGTACTGCTAGAAAACTTCTTATGGTTTAACATATACATACCACTTACTGCATGTAGGTTCTCTAACTAAGCAATTTGCACAACCTTACAAGAAACCAAGGCAGAGCGATGTTAAATAACTTGCCCAAAGTCAAACAGCTTATAAACTGTCCAAGATTTAAAGTCAAGTTGTCTAACTCCCAGTGCAAGTTTGTGCTTATGGCTTCTCATCTTCTGTAACCATCACAGAATGTGACACAGTCATGACATTCCCAATTCCCTCCTACCCACCTGGTCTTTAAGGTGGCATTTATACAGCCCATTCTTATAAAAGGCAGCTGGTAAATCTCAGTATCTCTAAAGACATGGTGAATTAGAAGAAATAAGTGGGACTGAGCATTTTCAATACCCGAACAGCTGAGATTATAAGCACCTGCACATTACATTTTTTTCCACTTTTCACTCCTTGGCAGATTCTCTCCCATTCAACACCCATGTCTTATGGTCCTGGCACCAAACCCAGGCAGCCTGGGTTCCCTGGAGTACAGCATAATCTAATAGCCTGCATAGATAAATTCTCATCAGGTGACCCTGGGAGAGCTCAAACCCACCTTAGATTAGCCTAGGTACAACAGAGTGATGAGCAATTTGCAGAACTGTATGGAGACTCATCTAGCAGATCTCTCCATTCAAATCCCCTGCAATCATGAGTGAAGTACTTGCCAATTATTTCAAAAGGAGTGACTTTCTGATTTATAAAGCAAATGCTAACAGTACATGAGAAAAGAATGGAAGCCATGCTCTCTTTACAATACACAGTGTTCCCAATCAAGTTAATGCCCTATTTGTAGTGATTCGTTCAGCTGTCCTGTCCTTGGCAGCTTCACTTCTCCCTGCCCATGGTCTTTTAACAATAGGTTCTCAACAGATATTGGTTGAATAAAAAAAGCTTAGGGCACAGAGGACTCCTTCAATAAAGACTAAATCTATTCATCTTTATCTAGCTCAATCTGGTTTCTGAAATGTGTTACTTTGAAAGTTCTAAGGAAGGAAACGTAAGGGGGCAGTGGGAAAAAGAGAAGAGGAAATTACTCATAGTTTGTGAGTTTTGAAATAGCAATGCTCTCTTCCCATTTAGATATCCTTTAAGCTACTTAATATATCTACAGAGCTTTGTCATAGTTATTTTTCTACCTAGCAACTTCACATTTATTCATTCATTAATTTAATCTACACTGTGAGTAGGCTCTGGAATAGGAAGGACAAGTTCAAATTTAGTTCAAGAAACAAGGACAAGGAGCTGAAAGAACGCCAATGCAGTTGGAATAGGACACTCTTAATGTCAACTGGCAATGTTGGTGAGAATTTATGGGAAAATGACTTAAGAAGACCAAGCGTTTCAGCCAAGATTGTATTGTAAGTTCCTATATTTAGTGTCCCTTCCCTATTACCACCCCACTCCAAAAATATACAAAGTTATGAACATACAGGTTTTTTAGTCTGTGTGATTTAAAAAAAAATATGATTAAATATATTAGAGGTGTGTAGGAGCCCTAATTCTGTGGACTAATGGGGCTAAAAATATCCCCAGGAAAAAGTTGGGACCTAAGCTAGGCCTACTGCTGGAAACCAGAGAATGTGGAGGGGTAGGCCCCACACCGCAATGAAAGGGGGCTTTAAAAATCTGTTTATACAGGGAGGTGGCAGAAGGCAGACACAGCCTCACTACCAGTTCTTGGACCATCCTGTGTGATCCTGGATATTCTATCATCATGGAACAGAAACCCCTAGCTACAAATATAAGACTTGACTCTGGACTGGGGTCCTCCGAAGTAGAAGTAGGTAATAGCAAATCCCTGATAGGTAGAGAGAGTGCAAAGAAAGAACATGAGGGAAGCAAACTCAAGATGATGCTTGAGTGCTTTTCCAAAAGCCCATGAGAAAACTAGCATTAAGAAAGATGGCCAATAATATCAACACCCTCCAGATGAAATGAAAAGAACAGAGCAGCCTGAAAATGACTTTAACTGAAGCTTCAAAACAAGCAGGTTGTTGTACAGACTATCTTTACCAGTTATATTTTAACATTCCTCAAATTAAATTTATTACATAAATCTTTAAATTTTAAATGTTGAACTTGTACTTTCTAGTGAAGTGAGTGGAAACACAGTCTCACCACTGTATTAAGCATCTGAGAAATCACTGGATAAGGCTGCGTTCCCTGAGGGCCATCAAGTAAGAGCTTCCTTTGTAGAACCTTTGAGACCAAAAGACAATCTTGATGCAGCTTGGGAGGACAGAATAGATATGGATTGTCAGGGTAGTCAACACAGATAGAAAAGCTAAGCCAATGCTGTGACAGAAAACCTTTCTTTGATAGAATGATGGGAAAGCAGATAGATTAAGAAAATGGTCCCTGAAAATTAAACATAGGCTTTATAACTAGACTCAAGATAAATTGGAATAAACTGAATAAATTCTCTATCTTTTCTGTCACAGAGTAAAAATAAGTGTTTATATTTATAAAGCAACATTACATGCATATTTAAATGGGAGATCCCAAATAGAAAAATTACCATTTAATGAATGAATGGCTAAATGACCAACCATTCTAAGTCAGAAAAAAGTTTAGGCACACATTCTTCTTATTCTTTATGTTGACACCTCAAAAGAAGCCATGTTGAAAACCAAATCAATCAGCAAACACTGAAAAGGGGCAGAGACCACTTTAGTTGTGAATCTACAGTGTTTTGACAGCCCACTCTTAACTAAAGGTGGAAGAATTATTATGTACATTTACTGCCATTGATCTAAACCCAACAAATTCTGCCAACAGAGATTTATTAGAAAGGAAAGAAACAACATATAATTAGTTGACAGTTATTTAGGAGTTAATTATTCAGTCCTTTGTTTCACTTCTTTCTTTTTCCTACTTAATTCCTCTTGACTACTTCTCTGCTGGTTCATTCCCTCATCCACTAGAGAAATAAAGCAGGTGAAAATCAAAGTAACTAACAGAACAATCTGTGATTGGCAAAGGGAAGGAAAAGGAGGGTGGGAGAATTCATAATTACTGGAAAAATTATTGTTTTTTTGTTTTGATTAGTTGGGTATAAAGGAAAGTATGGGCTCTGGAATTAAACAAACTGAGCTTTGGTTTCTTGTTCTGCCAACTGGCTGTGTGTCCTTGGTCAAATAACTCAGTTGGTCTGACTCAGCTTCCTCATGAAGAAAATAGGGATACTAATATCTGTGTTGAAGGACAGTTGCAAGGATTGAATAAAACAATGCAAAGAGTCAAATACAATTGTTCCCATCTGGTAGGCACTCAAGCTGCATTATTAAAATCACCTAAAATTTATTCTTGTCATATAATTAAGATTCAACTGAAAGCAAATGCTCTTAAACTGAGAAGAAGTTCCCAAGTAAATGCCCACATTTTAATCTGTAAGCTTCTTGATTTAAATTTGCATCTTAAGATTTGCATTAGTTAAACTTTACCTGTCGACTTCCCTGCTTGGAGGAACAGCTACTTGTGCTCCTTGAAGGTGAGACCAATTTTTGGGACACACCAAGGTTCTTCTCATCACTCATCATGAGCAGAGTCACGTGGTCTTGATACAGTCAAAATGTCATGAGAAGACAGTGGAGCAGAGAGTATGAAAGTCCCACACAAGCAGGTGGCTCAGCTCTTACTCCACACGTCCACACATTTTAAAAGCATTTTGGATGACCCAGAGGAAATGCCTAAAAACCAAAGAAAAGAATTAGAGAGAGGGTAAGAGGCATCAGACATCATTTTTAATTAGCCACTGATTATTTTCTTTACACTGCAGGTTACAGAGCCACAGTGCTTAGACACATCAGGGGCTGTAAAGGGAAAACATGCTTTACATCTATTTCTTATTGAAATTATATGTAGGTGGTTTTTCATGTAGCTTTGCAATATGACAGTCTTAAGAATAGTAGTAAGAAAATTTGAGTCCAGGCACATACAAAATCAGTACTATAAAAACCATCCCAAATCACAATGAGATACCACTTCATACTCACTAGGTATAATTAAATTAAAGAAAAAAAGAGTAACATGTATTGGAAGAAACTGGAACCCTCTGGCATTGCTGGTAGGAATATAAATGGTGCAGCCATAGTTGAAAATAGTTTGGCAGCTTTGTAAAAAATTAAACAGAATTATCAGGATTTAGCAATTCCACTCCTAGGTATATACCCAAAAGAATTGAAAATAGGTATTCCAACAAAAACTTGTATAAGAACATTCACAGCCATGCTAACACAATAGCCAAAGGTAGAAACAACTCAAATGTCCATTAGCTGATGAATGGATAAACTACATATGGTGTACACTATGGTCTGAATGTTTGTGTCCCCCTCCAAAACTCGTATGTTGAAATCCTAATGCCCAATGTGATGGGATTAGGAGGTGTGGCCTCTGGGAGGTGCTTAGGTCCTGAGGGCAGAGCCCTTATGAATGGAATTAGTATTCTTATTAAAGAGTACCCACAGAGGATCAGAGGATTTAATAATGTGTCTAACTGTTGAATCACTGTGTTGTATACTTGAAACCAATATAATACTGTATATCAACTATACTTCAATAAAAAAAGAAAGAGAGAGACCCCACGGAGCTCCTACCCTTCCACTATGTAAGGATACAGTGATAAGTCTGCAACCCAAAGAGGGCCCTCCCAGCATCCTGGCACCCCCATCTTGGACTTCTAGCCCCCAGAACTATGAGAAATAAATTTCTTTCCCATAAGTGACCCAGTCTGTGGTACTTTGTTAAAGCTGCCCACACTAAGACAGTATATGCATACTATGGAATATTATTCAGGAATTAAAAGGTATGAATTACTGATACGTGCTATAATATGGATGAACCTTGAAAACATTATGCTAAATGAAAGAAGCCACACACAAAAAACCACATATTGTATGGTTCTACTTATATGAAATAACCAGCATGGGCAAATACATAGAGACAAAAGCCAAATTAAGGGGCTGGGGGGAATTGGAGAATAGGGTATCGCTATGGGTTTCCTTTGAGGGTGATTAAAATGTTCTGGAACTAGACAAGGGTGAGAATTGCACTAGATTGTGAGTGTACTAAATGTCACTGAATCATACGCTTGAAAATTTGTTAAAATGTGAATTTTATATTATATGTATTCCACTACAATTTTTAAAAATCGCTGTTTTTTGGGGGGACAGGATAGAAGTTTTGTTTTACCAAAGGGTTTTGGAGACATTGTCTAAAAAACTATGACCTGGGGTGACAAAAATTGGGTAACAGCAGAATTTTCTCTATCACTTATTAGTATATTAGTAATAAAAATGATAATTTATTGCGTCCACACTATGCTCTGCCAAGCCCTACAATAAGTTTTCTACACGTTGTCTCATTCAATCAGTAGTGTGATGGAAAGTACTCTCTCCATTTTACAGAGGTGAAGCCCAAGTCTCTGAGAAGTTAGTAACTTGCCCACTCACTCACCCGGCAAGGGACTGCATCTGGGCTTAGATCCTTAACTTAGGTGCTGGAAATGAGCATGCCAGATCTAGCTACTGATCTGATAGAGGTAAGAGGAAAGTAATAATAGCTACTTTCCTGTCTCTGGAACCTAAGAGAACTGAGGAGCTGGATGAAAAGACTCAGGAGGGAACACATCAGAAGCCAGCTTTGAAGAGGTGACGCTTCATGTCTTCCCAAGATGGCGTCTCCACATGGCAAAGTAGCTATGGTGGGGAGGAGGACTGACCTGGGCAGAGACAGGGATATCCCTGACGGGTAGTTGGCTGGGCTGCCTACCCGCCACCCTGCAGCAACTCAGGATTGAAGCAGCAGCCCTGAGTTAATGGGGACTAACATGTTTGTTTTGGGCTCAGAGAGCCAGACTTTCATTTGACACACGAAGTTCAATTATGTATCTAATCGATTCGGTTCTCACTGTTTATGGTCTAACCTCAAGAGAAAGATGTTACATAATAGTCCAGGAACCAGCTAGTTAGATATCAAACTTTTGGTTAATTATTAAGTACTCAAATCTTCTATGACTTTTAGTTACACTTAGTTCTTTCAGAAATGCGTCTGCTAAAGCCATAAACTGAACTGAGACAATGAAAAGAAATACCAGAATCTAAGAAAATGAAATTAAGGTGCCTGTAGCTGTAAAACTCAATTCCCGTGTTGCTTTCATAGAAGCCCCCAAAAAGCAAGCCAACACCAGCCTCTTCATAAAATTAGGTTTACTTACAGGACATGCCAACTATACCTGAAGCTAGAAGCAAATGCAATCTAGTTAAAAACTGTGGAGAGAGGCTGTGAGGATGTATTAACAGTTTGTGTTTAGCAGCATTGGTCGTTGCTGTGTAAGAGGAAACAAAGAAAACAAAACCTGATGGGAACCCCAAAGGAGGAAAGGTGTGTGGGCAGCCACTGCTATGACAACTAATTCCAGACAGCATGAGGAATACCAGCTAAGGGATGCTATTCATGTGTGTGAGTGGCTTTTGGGTTTTTTGGGGCTGAGATTTTGACAGTAAGAACACAGGATGAGAGGTGGTGTGTGATGCATACAGAAGGGAGAGAGGAGAGCACCTGAGCCATAAGAGTCACAGGAATTCTGAAACTGTGCCAAAGCAGGCACACCATCACCCTGTCTCAACACGACTGTGAAAAAGGGTCATGTTTACCGCTTAATTCTGCCAAACCTCACTCTGGAGGCAACAGTTACCAGGGCCAGGGCTGAGAGGGACTAAAGCCCATACTCATTTAAGTTGTTAGAGATAAGGACTCTGTAAGAACGACTAGATACCTCATTTTCCTTCAGGGAAAAGAAGGGGTGGAAATACACAGCCCCTCCCACACCCATCCCAGGTGAATCTGGGGTGACTGCCTAGGGAAATGTATCTGTTTCATCCCTTAGACCCTTCAGTTGAAAGTACCAAGGGCAGCTTAGAGGGCAAAGTAAGTCAAATTCTGGGGAAAGGATATGCTTGAATCAGGGCAGAATAAAGAATGAAGGTAGCAGTGGCCTAAGACTAAGGTACCCCAGGGGTAAGACAGTCACGTGAAATAAGGCTGCTATTGTGTCCAACCTTGGGGACCTCATTGTGTGTCACCATAAGGAAGCCTTGATGTGAGCCCCAAGAAAGCAGACCTTGATAAAGCAGATTCACACACATGCCTGGTGTTTTCTACTCTAACTACCTGACATCACAGTGCTGACTTAGTGAAATGGTGAGGATAAAGCCCTTAAGGGACACACATATTGTACAGGAGTCAAGGCCACTGACTCAGGGGTATGTGAGATGTTGAGGTGGATAAAGACCCACGGTGCTCTCACCCCTCCCAGTGACCCATCCCTGGTAAACCTCCAACTTAAGGGGTTTATTGGTTTGAACAAAATATAATCGTTTCCCTGCTCACACAGTTCACAACTTAATTTATTTCTCCTCTTATTTTTTACAGAGGTACAATTTAACATATAAAGTAAAGTGAACAAATCTTAAACACATAGACAGCTCTATGAAATTTTAAATTTGCAAAGATACCAACACCACCTGGATCAAGAAATAGAGTGTGTGAAGCCTCCCAGAAGTTTCCTCCATGTCCTGGCCACCGATCTGACTGGTTGGGGAGCCGCACCTCATGCTGTCCGCTATGGTACCTGCCCTGGTAAGCCTCTCCTGCAAGCGCTTGCCAACATGGCCCAGGGTGGCGGGTGGGGACTTCCCCAGTTTATCAAGAGGCACAGGTGCACCACTGCTCTCGTGCCTTCTGCTTACTACAAGTAACTGATGTGGGCCAGAATTCAGTCTGGGACTTGCTTTCACTTCAATAAACCACTTGGTAGGCAAACCAACAGGTGTGAAAATCCCAGTGCAATTAGGTCAATTCAAACATGCCCTCCTTGTGCCTCTGAGATGACCTGGGTCCTCTCTCACCACTGCCACCCACCTGAGGAAGCTGATGGATCAGACCCAGGTGATAACAGTGTTCCAGCTCAAAGTCCAGTGGGCAGAGACATACAAACTTATGCTGTCGTGAGGCTTCCATTAGGGAAAGAGAACTCTGATTTCTACCAAGCATGAAGAAGAATAAATGCCCGAGGCACTGCCAAGCATTTTGGAAACAAAGGCTGATTTTAAGACTTACATTAGAAATTTTCACTTAGTAAAGAATACACAGTTTGGGAAAAGATGCAAAGGAGATGTATATACCAAGATGTATTTGCTTCAGAAGAAGCCAAACCAAAGTTTGAATTGGTGCTACCTTATTACAAACTCTGTGCACCCTGAAAAACCCTCTGATCTTCAGGTTTTTTTACATAAGAAATGGTGAATTGTGAGCATTAAATGAGAAAATGAGGATAAGGTATCTCGATCGAACATCATATACACTCAACATATGTTCATTCCATTTCCTCCTCTCCTTGTTTCCTGAAAATGGAATATGCAGCACAAGATAAGATCCTATGCTCCTCTTGCAACCCAAAACAAATAAGGAGTCTATAGAATTGTAAAACATGTTTGTCTTTCCACTTATTAACATTTCCCTAAATTCATAACACAAGTGTGAACAAATTTTTAAATCATCAAAGCAGCATGCATACTTTGGAACAAGACATAAATGCAAAAAGATAAAAGCCACATTATTCATCACCACTGGCTGTCCAAAAAAGCAACTTCATATTAACTAGTAGGTTTGAAATAGTGCCATGTAACAC